ACCTCTTCTGGGTGGTTGGTGAGTAGTCTATACACAATGACTCTCCTCTTCTGTCCAATTCTGAAGGCTCTGCTCACGGCCTGTCTTAAAACAGATGGATTGTCGGTGTTATCTATTATTACGACTCGAGAAGCACCCACCAGACTGATGCCCTCTTTGCAGGCTTTGGTAGAAGCCAGCAGGAGGTGAATGTCTTGTCCAAAGTTTTGATCTGCTCCCGGACATTGGTTGAACAACTTGATTACCTCTTGCCTGTCAACTTCCGCCATTGTCCCGTCAAGGCGGAAAAACTGTTGATTAAGATTCCAGCCCCATATCTTCAGGAGCATTGTCTGAATGTAATCCAACGGACCAAGTGTTGTGCAGAAGACGATCACTTTCTCCTTCGATTCTTTGCATAGACGCAAGAGGTGGATTAAGAACTCGATCTTCACCCCTTGAAACGCTTCCGTAAATTGATTCGATGGAGATGGTTGAGCCGGGCCATGATTCTGGCCAGAATATGGATTTAGCGTATTGAGCCCCGCCACCAATGATGGATGAATGCATGCTGAGAATATTTTCTTCTGTATCGCCCATCTGCCTTTAACTGGAGGCAGAGACGAAATTACTCTTCTCTGAACATCTGTGAGCTTCAACCTCACCGAGTACTCGATCAATCCGGGGAGACTTTCTAATATTGTACCTGGATACCAGTGAACGAACGAGGCTGTCAGCAGCCTTAGTTTCTGCACCGCCTGATTGATGGCCTCATCTGCAACGGTTTCATTCTTCACCTGATTTTCCAGAATTTCGCCAATTTCTTCCTGGAACATATTTTCTTCCAGTTGCATTACAGATTGTCTAGATTGTCCGCTCCTCTCGCCGATCGTATTAGAGAAGTTTGGATGAGCTCGCATAAAGTCATCTCTGCACAGCTTCAGTAGAGTGTAGAGCTCCTTGAAATTATTGTGAAACAACGTCCCTGACACTATCACTCTCCTTCTTGTTCTCAATTGTTGGAGGCTCTTGAGTATCTTCGTCTTCTTTGTTCTAGCCAGATGCCCTTCATCAAAAACGACCAAGTCTGGAGCATCGAGGACTACTTTGCACATTTGTAAGTCTAAAGCATCTCGTTCAGTCTTTGAAAACAAACCTCGATCCACCATAATGGCGAACAAAGTATAACTCATCAGCAACACTCCCCCCTTTGCTCCCTTCCAATCTTCTAGTACTCCAGCTCTGTTTACCTTCAAGCTTTTCTTCACCTGTGTTGGTATTTGTGAGTAAAGTTCCAGCGTTTCCTGCAACTCGTACTCCGCTCCGACGGAACCCTCTTTATGAGTGCACTCATTGAGGCAAAATATAGGCAAGGTCTCAACTTTCCACCGAGCAAACTCGTCCTGCCAGGATTTTAGCATGATTTTTGGTGCAAGGATGAGAGCTCTTCTCTCGAGGAACTTGGACAGAAAGCTTTTTATAAAACTTATCATAAGGCAAGTCTTACCTGTACCAGGGGCATGTGCTATAATGCATCCAACAGATTCCCCTTTCTCATCAGCGACAAGATTTCTGGCAAGGAAGTCGAAGCCGTCTTTTTGATGAAGGTGCAGTACATTCTCAAACAGAGGATCAAGCTCCAAACTAGAATTGCACAAGTCTTCATCACTGCGTTGTGGCACTCGAAGGTTGAATTGCAACGCAGACTCCACCCGTGTGAACTTCGAAGCATTGTGCTTACGTGGTTCAGGTGTATGACTTAAGGGGATAAACATTTTCTGTATGTCCCTTCCCGTTCTTCCACAGTCCTCGCAGTATTGTCCGACCTCGTCTTTCCAGAGCTTGTTCTGGTGAGTACAGGAAATGTCTTTCAGCTTCTTCTGCTGGGCTATGCATCCACAATCCTCACAATACCATCCCAAATCCTCGTCCCAGTCACAAACCAGATGGTCGCAAGCCAGGGACGGCTCTGACGCTGGAGGAGGTGCTTCAGCCGTGGCGAGTGCCATGCACTCCCACACGGATCCCAGAGAACTTTCCGCCTTGTCATCTAAGATCCCCTTTTCAGGCTCCCATCTATAATCCGCGTAAGGAACGTTCTCTTCATCCTGACATGTGCTGTCTAAATCTTGGCATTTGGCAGGTTCTATTGAGTAGTCTTCCTCCTCACTCATATCCACTTCTTCCATTCGCTGTGCTTTTCTCTTCTTCCCTTTGTTCTGAATCGCGTGGAGCTTTTTTCGTACACATTTTTCCCTCAATGATTTTTTCAAGCTGTTCGGCGTTTTCCTTAACGAAACTACACCCTTGCTATGATCGCCAACAATTGGTGAAGGGACAGAGTCCACAGCTTCTTCCGTTATATTTGGACGAAGAAGCTTCTTAGCGCTTAGACAGGAAGTCTCTTCCCGGTCAGTCTCGCCGAGGCCGGCGGTGTGACTTGATTTCTTGTGAACAGAACTAATATCTAGAGGAGAGTCTGGCTTCTCTATACCATAGCTTTGTACCCCAGGCATGGCGCTTGTGGCAGCGGGTTGATGTGGAGAATCAGTGACGGGCGAGGTGAGGACACTGCCACTCAAAATTCGAGCTATTTCGTCCCAGTATTCCTCGATCTTCTTTGCATTGGCAGACTTCGCAGTAGTTTCTTCTTCGGTTTGGTAACGATCCTCTTCAGGTACCTCTCGTTGACCGGAACCATCTGCCTCAGCATTAACTGCATTGGGATTTCGAACGTCAGCGGAATGCAAATCTTGTGGGAGGACTGTGGGATTTGAGCAACCTTGCTGTCCAAGGCCTTTCACGTTGTCAGGCCAGTGGACATTTATCATCCCCTTTTCACAATTCTCCATGCCGTCCGTGGAAGTCTTCTCCTTGTTCTCTTGCAAATTCCTCGTTGCAAGTTCTTCCTTGGAATCCAGCATTGCCTGGACAGATTTCTCTACCTCGGCACCACCTGTAATCTGCTCAGTACTTTCCTCTAATACTGGCGATGGAGAAGTGCCATATAAACCCAGTCTCGTCGCACTCAATTTCTCGATGAAAGTGTTGCACAACTTCTCTATACTTTCAAGCTCGGCCATGGCCCCTTTCAGCCAGTCAAAACTTTTAGCTTCCAATGTACCAGTCTTCATAGTCACTGCGGATGGTGTCATATAAACCCAGTCTCGTCGCACTCAATTTCTCGATGAAAGTGTTGCACAACTTCTCTATACTTTCAAGCTCGGCCATGGCCCCTTTCAGCCAGTCAAAACTTTTAGCTTCCAATGTACCAGTCTTCATAGTCACTGCAGATGGTGTCCCATTCTCGTCTCGATTTGCATTCATCTCCTGTTTCTCATCGTTCCCTGAGACATCCGACGACGAACGGTCGGTTGTGTCTGCTGGTTCTTTCAAGCCCATCTCAACCGTCGGAGATGGTGGAAGCATATCATATACACGCCAGCCAGCCTCCACAAAAAATATATAACCCCAGAAAAGCTCCAAGACTGCTCGTATAAAGCTGCCTAAGTCGTGCCATCGTGAATCTGCTGCGAAAGTCGTGTCGTCCCCGACACAATACGTACAGAATAACGACCTGTTCTGGACATGGGCTCCAAGTGGACAGAGAGGAGAATATCTACCGATCGTCCATGCGTTTTTCATACGATTTTTCATACGTCCATGCGTATTAGCGGAAGGCCGAACATGGCAGATGACATGATCCTCCTCCCCTTACATTTCGAACCGACCATTTTATCACATCGTTCCCACTGGAATTTGAAGCTGATGTTGGAACTGCAACTAGAAAGTGGACGAGAAGACTTGCAGAAACGACGATTCGAAAACCGATCTGAGAAAATATAGAGCGGGACCTTCCCAGTCCAACATAACGTAAACGTAAACCGAACTCTTTGTTGTCTGTCGCCTTTTCGCACTCCTTGCACAGTTAGTTGATGATGAGTGCTGCTAGGTCCAAGTCCGTCAAACCTCCCTGCCCAGCTCAGACGTTCGTTACCTTGGGGCTGACTGACATTGACTGACTTATTAGTCAGTCAGGGACCATTGCAAGCTTTTCTTTCTTCACTTCAGAGGACGATGAGGACATAGGAGGACGGGGGTCTAGCTCATGTAGCATCCATCCAACCTTTTGCAATTAAATTCTTACTTCGCCCATTGATTGAATGATTGATTGAGATCAATCATTCAATCAGATTTGAGATTCCACGTCGGGACAGACATGTCGTCTGCCCTGTTGACAAACGGTCGATCTTCTTGGCCTGGGGACGGACTGAGGAAGAAAATGTGGAAGTCGTGGAAGAAGAGCTTGGTCTCCTTCCGCTTTACGAAACTTTAGGTTACATCTACATACAATTCACAGATTCTGCAGCCCTGGAATACTGCGCAATATGATCTCAGTGTAATAAAATTACATTTTCTGAATGCTAAGAATAATAACTGTAGACAGAAAATTATATTGAGAAGGTTTCTCTGAGTTTTATTGCATCTGCTAATATTGTGAAGGAGATAATTTGATCAACTAGCGTCAACCTTCGGTTGACGCAACGATGGATCAAACGGATAATGTTATCATGAAATGACTGATTGCAACAGAAATTGCGTGAAAGTGTGTGATTCTCACACACTTTCAGGCAAAAAACTGAAATCAGTTAGGTATCATTGTTTGTTATTCCCAAAAACCATACCAACTTGTGGAGGAGACCTCTGAATTAACTCCTCCACAATTTAAGTTTTAAGCTTCCCTTTCGCTTATGAACACTGTTGTCGATCTCTTTCAACAAAGCCCCCTCAAGCATTCCTGCGCACAATGACGATGCAATGAGCATGAAAGTTTTTTTTCCCCCTTCTCAAGTCATAAATAGCGTATGAATTGTGTGGATCTCGCTAAATGTTGTTAAGTTCTTTTAAAACTCCTAGTCAAGATTGTGCTCCCAAGCAAGAGTCCAGATGAACTCTTTTGTTACTCACAAAATTCCAACGCACGCATTTGAAGAATCTAGATTGCTGAGTCAATGTTTTGTCTTGGTCTTATTGAGTGATAATCTGACCTACGAAACTCGACGTCGAAGTATGCAACTGAACATGCAGCGCACGACAACGATTCGAGTGCCGCTGTTAGAGGCACCTGCCGTCCACTAGCTTCAGTTCTTGGTCTGTAGCAGGAAAAGCTCGTTTTTTGCTTCAGGCCACGAGCAAGCAGACAGTGTGACTCTTGAGCTCCTTAATGGAAATTTTGTTTGGTCACCTCAAGAGAATTCGTCATTCTTCTCAAGAAACTCCCTTTGTTGATATTATAGACATCATAGTATCTACAGAGACACGAAGAATGGTTGATAATGGAAAGGATTGTCGTCCTGTACATGTACTTCGCACAGCATGCTGCGCTATTGCACGCAATCTGATGGCTAGTTCTATGACTTTAGATTCAATTGTCGGATGAAGAATCGATCCGCTTACTTGTCAGCAGTAAATGATCAGTTTCCCCTCAGTCCCACTTGTAATATGTAATTGCTCAGTTTGTGAAAGCAAAAGCCAGAGCTCTTGGACCAATGACTCCAATGTGGTTTAGTAAGTCATTCTGAAAACGAATTTTCTCGTCTACCAGTATACACAGCGTGTACTATACATGTGAAAAAAGAGGAAGGTAGCACATGAGCAGCTAGTTCAAAGTTCTATGACATTGCAGGCTTCCTACCCAACAAGGTTTCAGCTAGCAGGAAGCTGCATAGCGAAACCACCGAAAACAAGGAGAGGACAATTCCAGCAATATCTATGGAAGGAAGTCTTCCTGTGATTGGGATGATGGTGATCAGGTTCGTGGTCTTGGCATCATCAGTGTTCTGACCGTAAGCCAGCTCAACTGCTTGAGTATCCAACACGTACGCACGAACGAAATATTCGCCTCCAGGAACGTTCTTGGGAATTCTCCAAACCACAAAGTTCCCTTCGCTCCTGTACAACTTGGTCGCAATCTCCTTCGGACAAGTATTGTCCCTCTGGAGATCGTCATCGGTCTTCCTCCAGCCGCGATCGATCTGACTCTTGGGAGCAAAGCACAGCTTCACCTTGACACTGGCATACTCGGAATCTACTTCGATTTCAAGGGAAGAGTTCAAGTTCCACTGAACGGCCAGACTGTCTACACCAACTTTGGCAACTCCTGACGATACGTTTTGGCTTTGAATCTGGGCATTCACAACAAGGTTCCGTTCGAGAGTAGAAAATCGCACTCCCCCTTCGACTTCTGTCGCCTGGAACAACGCTGCAAACAGAACTGTCACAGCCAAAAGTTTATGACAGCATGCCATCTCGGTTCTCTTATTGCAGACAGCTGGATTACGTCAAATGGAGAAGTCAAATTACAATTGAGTTTACAATTGAGCGAGAGCTCACTATTCTAGGATCACAGAATCCACCAATTTCAAGCCGGTCTGGCTCAGATGGCAAACTCAGTACGACCTGTCTGAGAAAATGAACGACAGGACAGTTTGAAGGATGAGCAATGAGTGGAAGGAGATGTCTCCTCTCTATAGCTAGGTAGTGACAGGTCTGAGTTATGGTGGACATATGAAGAGAGGGGCAGAAAACGGAGACGGTTGAATGTTCCGGCATTTTCCATTCTGGTCACATCTTATAGAATCCATACAGAGGACGATCTTCGTCCGAAGGTGCCCCCATTCTCTCCGAAAAGCTCATCTAGCAACTTTCCTGCGGGGGAATGCAAGCTAGAGCTCTTGGAGTCCAGCACGTCCTTTCTACATGCCGTCGATGCTCACCAGATGAACGCGACAGAAACAGTGTCATTGTTAACTATTGGGTACACGTGAAGCGCAATGCGTTGAGCTCAGAACAATCGATGCAGTCATAAACATAATTTTACTCTCCCCGAGAGGATCTCATCGAGATGCGGCACCTCGACCACGAGATATTGCCTTTCCTGACACCCACTGGAACTTCTCTCTTGTTTGCAGAGTGCCCGTTGGTTACGGAAAATCCGAGACCAAGATCTGCTCCGCGAGGTACGTCTCTCTGCAAGCAGAAATCACAAGTACAGCACTGCGATGAAGACGTAGCTGTCTGCGTCAGGACTCCTCGCGTGCGCGCGCGAGCGAACTTTTAGCCACGCGCGTAGAGTTCTTATTCCTTCAAAAGCACATCGATGGTTATTCACCAGTAGTCTCTTGAAGTCACAAGTATTGTTCAGCTTTGCTGCTAGAGTAAACTTGGGCGATTGAATTGCATGTATCGTTGGAACACTTGTAATTATGTAGTAAATATGACTTTGTAAGCATAATTGTCCTTATGTACAGAGATATATATCCTATGTGAGAATTTCTTAAATGTATATCTTTAGTGGATGTGCGTTCAAGGCCACATAATTTGATACTCCACCGTTACCAGTATAATTATCTTTAAATTAAAATATATTTTCTGAAGAAAATTGGATTTCTACACAATTTGGTAGTGACTTATTAATTAATCAAAAATTTGAATTTAAGAAAGACGATTTTGGCAATAATTTAGTATTGCTTCGTTTCAACAACATTGGATTATTTGATGATGTGCATTTTTTGAAAATATTCCTAATTTGAAACTTTTGGTCAGAGCAGCGTGAAACCATGTTCTGTTATAAATCAGTTTGCAATAATATTCAAAGTGCAAATAGTGTAAATTATTATTCTTATTTTATCTCTAATCATGTACATTTGAGTTGAAGTTTCATCATGATTTCTAGTATGACAGTTCTTATAAACATATTCACATCATTTGGGACATTTTCAACATCTAGTTGAAATTGATCTCAGTACATACAAAAGTATCTAATCAAGAGTCAATCCATTTTACATCACGATTTCAACCAAAAACTAGAAAAAAGTACTCTTATACTTCTACAATGACCAAAGACACATGATATTTTCATTCATATAAAGTACGGAAGGGATTCAAAATTAAATTTCATCCTTGCACTTATCATCAAGATTTCATAGAGGCAAATATTTCTCAAAATAACACCAGAAATTTAGTTAATAAATAATGAATAGTTGTGATATTCAAACAAAAAAAAATACCAGCCCTTGAAAGACAATTGTGAAAAGAATTAAGATTATGCTTTTTTTAAATGGTTAATTAACTCTTATAATTATATGTAATATTCTAGGGAAACAATGTTTCCAAAGTAAAAGTATACAATAATGCAATTCGCAAAAATCACCTGTTTTTTTCATCCCTCTGATGAATCTTCCAAACTAAATTTAGGACAACTTCAGGACAGATTGAGGCAAAGGAAGCCCTTGTTCCCAATTCCCTATTGATCTTATCTTAACAAGTAACCCCTCCCGAGTCACGTTTACAAAATACATGTGGATACCGAGGCTTGAATTATGTAGAGCCGAAATTAGAGGTATGCCCGAAAGCGCAATCATGTAAAAAAGCAAGAACGATGGAATGAACCCATTAAAGCATGTGGAGAGTTTGGATATGAGGTGCAAGATGGGAAGACATGAAAATGTTCAAGGACACTAAAGACTTTGGGAGGATCGAAAGGAAAAAACTTCAAATTATGAACATGTTACATGTAATTTCATATGATTTCATACGGCCGCTAACATGTTGAATTTTGACACATCCCCATGAATACTACATAACTCTTACTTCGTTGACACACAAAGCTTGAGTAATACTTACATATGTAGCCAAAGCTTCAAAGGCTGGAACAACCTATAATCAATTTACTCTGTCTGTGTTTATGTTGTGGTCCAAGATACATCGTTGTGTCTTATCTAGCTGATGATGGAGATAAAGAGAAAATCATGAGCCGATGGTGTGAACACATCATAGAGGGGACTGTCATACTGTGGCTCCTTGTCATGTGTTGTAATTTTGTTTGCATATAGTTTTAAAAATGTGATTGATGAAGATTTTGTCGTACATGGTTTGTGCTACAGTTAAGCGTCTACAAATCTTTATCGACAGTGACTACGTCCACTTAAAGTACCTTTCCTGAATTTTGTCAATGCATTTTATAGATTTGAAAACTCAGTCAATATTCTCTCGATGTCACTAACTAGGATTTTTAGGAAGTAGACCTCCACGACTATTCATGTGTGTAGGCCAAAGAACCTCCATCACCGAATATGTGTTTCTATATATGCTGCAACTGCTATAAGTTCGCGGAGATCAAGGCTAGCCGAATTCGATCCTCATGACATTCGATCTCTCCAGAATTCAAGTCACAATTACATCTTTGTGGGAAAATTCAAAGAAATATTTTTTTGACCAGGGTTCTTTCTGTAAGGATATTCATCAATACCCCATCATAGATTTGTGACTTAATCTAATGCAATTTGGGGTACAGCTCACTTAAGTTTTGATGTTGGGTGATTGAGAAGAAATCCCCAAATTTATGAGTATTTTAAAGACCCCATCTGTAAACAGTCGTGATATCGAAGCTGTGTAGTCTCGCTGATTAAGACCTGTAGACCGAGCTTCATTGCTGGGGAGTCCAGCTGGTCGGCTTCTCTTTTTGTCTTGTCTATATAAAGGTTAGCGAGATAAGCACGCATAAGTAAGGATATAGCCTTTCTTCACTCAGTAAGTGATATTGCGACACGATGAGTGTGTGAAGAAAGACTGGCGGTAGAATAGCATACATGAATAACTGTGGTTTCGCAAGTTTGCCATTTGAGCTTTGACTCGATCAGAGACCATTGTCCAAGACTGCAGTCTTGGACAAACATTTGGCTCAAATTTGTGTGTTTTGTCCACAACCTTGCTGTTCCTCAAAATTAAGGTCGTGATGAGACTTGTTTAGTCTGAAGTTTTGTTTCGTCTCAGTAGATAATTCATTCTATCGATATGAAGGTTGTATAAAACTGACAGCCACATCCAATTATCCTACTTGATCTGAACCAGCATCCAGAAGTTCTCCAAATTGAATATAACCAGGCTGAGTTTTTCAGAAATGATTTGTTGAACGTTTGCCAGCTAGATGATTTGAAGTAAAACTCCATGCTTTAGGCACAAATGATGGTGTTCAGATTAAACGGCATTAAATTCTAAAAGGTGAGCAAAATATCCCAACCTGATAACGAATTTTTTGCTTACGTTTTGAAAATAATGTTTGTGTGATTTACAGACGTAAGTATACTCAAATTAAATGCTCTTATATGTGGAAAATAAGTTGCAAGTTTAGAACCCAATGTAGTTGAACAAATAATTGGCAGATGTTATATATCATTTTTTCGTGTGATTGCAGCATAATTTCGCTCAAATGAGCAACGACGGCCTGAAGCCAGTCATGTAGTGGGAAATAATAAGTAGAGCAGCTACCAATACCGCTTAAAACTCAAAGCTTTGCTATGTCAAGCTCGAGTGTAGTATCTCAGGGTTTTGCGAGTGCCCTTATGCGCATACAAATGTGAATATCCCATCGCAGAGTTATTTCTCAGCTCATGTCCCATACGCTCGTCCGTTGTACTTAACGCACGCTCTTTCAAGTTAAACAAGGTGAATCAGACCAAAGAGAGATGATTGAATGTGGCGTTATTCACTCGGGGTATAGCTGAAGTTGGCTCTTCTTCATTCTAGAAGAACTAGATTGCAGAAGCTGCATGTTCCATTTTGAGATTGACTTATGATCTAGCATTTTTTCCCCTGTGTTGCATTCACTGTCAATGCTTTGGCAAGTGTAAGAAACTCGTACTATGTGGCCCTGTGGATCCGAAGATAACCAACTTTATATGTTTACTGGGTCCTCAAGGATGAACTCTCATGCATCTACTGAATCTTGGGCCCCTAAGAACATCGTGGTAACTTCTAAGGTAATATTCAAGGAGTCAGTCTTTACATTTCTATTGATACATATAACAAATAGCCTTTTCGAAATTTCCTTGGTCCTCAGGGGTGAATTCTCACGCATCTACTGAATCTTGGGCCACTAAGAACATCGTGGTAACTTCTAAGGAGATATTCAAGGAGTCAATCTTTACAATTCTATTGATACATACAAAAAATAACCTTTCCGAAATTTACTGGGTCCTCAAGGGTGAACTCTCATGCATCTACTGAATCTTGGGCCCCTATGAACATCGTGGTAACTTCTAAGGAAATATTCAAGGAGTCAGTCTTGACATTTCTATTGATACATGTAACAAATAGCCTTTCCGAAAAATTTTTATAGTCCCCTTATTTTAAATTATCAAAATCGAAATTTTTTAAAGTGCACTTCATCAGTAAACTATATTATCGATTGATGAACTAGAGCTACAAACACTTGTCTGTTTATATCTTAATTTACTTTTGCTACTTTCAAGCACAAGGGGATTCGTGGCGCAATGGTAGCGCGTCTGACTCCAGATCAGAAGGTTGCGTGTTCGATTCACGTCGAGTTCAAAGCTCGGAACTGTCCCGCAATTTCTTTTGCTTGTTTGTTCTTCGGAACTGTCCGACTCACTTTTGGCTGCCTGTACTTCAGACTATATCTCACTGTGTGCATTGTCACACTTACCCTCATGTTTCGTCTACACGAATAACCGCTGACAGTCTTTCTCTCTAAGAAACACCACCTACAGGTTGAAGCAGCAGCCGTCTAAACGAATATTTTCAAGCATACTCTCAAATGTATTTCATCATTTCAATATCTTTTCATTTTTCATATTGTGAATTGACCACGATGATTGCTTTTACGAATTATGCAGCTCTAAATCATAAATGTTGTGATAAGTGCATTGCAAGAGTTCTATTTCATTATTTATATGTTCATTTTTTGTTATGTTAAAGTAAACGTGAAATTATTTCATTTTTCACAAGTTATTTTAATTTTTTTCATTTTTCTAATTTTTAGTTTTCTTTGCAGTAGATGGATATTTTTTCTACGTTTTCAACATAATAGGTTACAAAAACAACTTCATTTTTTATTATGTGGAAGATACTTCAAAATTGTATGTTTGGTGCTATGTTTTTTGGTGTTACAGGTTATATAGATTGCATACGAGTTTTTTGTTCTATCCATTTCTTGTACATTTTGAATATCTGTCAACGTTTCTGTCATTATGTTTGTACACTTCGTTTATACATAAATCTGAGTATGTTTATGTTTGGCATGGCAGACAGAGTATTTTCATGCATGTGAGAGGTCAGAAAATTGTATATTGTGTTTCAGCGTACACAGTAACATCGAACATTCAAAATCAGGTTACAACCAGAAAACAAATTCTAGATGAAAGATATTTTCCAGTTGAAGGGAAAAGTTTATTCAAAATTTATTTTATATAAAATCGTTTCAGAATATCAGTGTGGATACCACTGGCCATTTTTCACATTTTGTACACAATCTACAGGATGCAGTCTAGTAACCTCACATGCGTGGAGATCACACTGCTGCTTCTTTCGCTCTACTTTAGAGGTCGTACTCCGACCTTTAAGTGACGCCCTATGTACATGCAGTGACGGTGGAAGCGGTCCAGAAGTAAAACCAATCATAAACGCTATATGTAATATACAATGGTGGATTGGTCCTACTGGTTGTTGCCAGTGACAGCGTCCTTGGCGTTGGTCAAGGTTTCCTTCACCTTTTCTCCGGTCTGCATAAGCCATAATTTCATTATCAGAATAATCTCACACGCATCAAGCGATCTACTACTACGTTGGAGTGAATTTTCCAATAGAGCAACCTTTATGTCATTTCAATCATAGCGCATATCGATTCAATGTCAGTCTCGGAGCAGCTGATTTACCTGCTGCAACATGTTTCCCGCGTTGTCCTTGGCTTCTACAGCCTTGTCTTTGGCAGTCTGGGTGGCATCGGATGTGCCCTGCTTGGCCTCGTCCATCTTCTTTTGAGCAGCGGATCCGGTCTCTCCAGCCTTCTGTTTGGTGGCTTCGCCCATCCCCTGAGCGTGCTCCTGGGCCTGTCCGGTCTTCTCAGCTCCGAGGTTCTTGGTCTCCTCTGCCTTCTGGGCAGCAGTGTCCTTGGTGGAGTCCCAGCTGGATTGGTTGGAGGCCATTTTGGCAAACGCTGACGATCGAAGAACTGAGAAAGATGCGCTTCAACAATGGTATTCAAAATGTTCGCTTGGATTGAACTTGAACTCGAGTTTGTATGCTGGTTGTGACAAGAAGATCGGGCCACGGCATTATATACAGGTTGGGACGCACAGGGCTGTAGCAAGTAGACTGCGTAGAGGACTGACGCGTGGAGAATCGAGACAGAGCTTTTTACAGGTTCCACGTGTTGGAGAAAGGTCGCGATTGTTGCAGGCGCAGTCGCTTTAGCATTTTCGACGACAACTTGTGGAACGCGTGTCATGACGAAGTGTGCATGGCATCCTATAACCAGGAGTATGGTGAATGTTGATACAGCAGCTCTTGTGGGCAAGGCATAACATGTGGATGCAGAAATGTTACGTTACTGTCGATGAAGGTCTTCTGTCTTGCTGAATCAGATCGCGCCAGCAACTTAAGCTCACATGATGCTTACCCACTCTACAGATCTGACAAGCTATTTGCCTTGGTTTCAGATAGTCATGTCTGTTAGACAAGTATCAACCACTTTCCTACTTCATCCCAGTCTTCTCAGAGCTTCCATGCGGTAGGTTCAACTCGCTATCTGTATATTTCTGTGAGTCTCCCACGCTCCATGATCTGGCTATTATCTCTTGGAGTCGAAGTTTGCAGCCTGAAGTTACCGTCATAGGAGTCTTAGTTAAGTTACCGTCAGAGGATTCTTAGTTAAGTTACCGTCAGAGGAGTCTTTCCACAATGCTCTGACAGTTGTCCGGATAAAGACGATTTGCAGATATGCCAGCACATCAAACATGATGTTCTTTTTCCCAAAGATAAGAAGAAAATTCATGGCATGTGTGTGCAAGTGTTCATATGCAATTTGAGAAAGCAAATATGGCCTTTTTTGTTGGTGTAACTTCGTTGTTATGCAACTAACCGACCAGCATTTCTTTCTGCATTATTTTTTAAACAGATTGTTTTCTATTGCATACAACTATAGACTGGATAGTCTACTAGGTTAAAGTAGCAACTCTTTGAGGGTTTATACATGCAGAAAATAAACGATGAGAGCTCCTTTGTCTAAATTTCTAACGTGCGAAGTCCTAGTCCGTCTGACTAATCACTCGATACCGGTGCTATCTGTACAGTGAAGTAAATGGGTAGAGCAATCTAGCCACTCTGTTTCATGTATATTTATCTGTGTGTCAGGTCCCAGCTTTGCCTCGTTACAAATTCAGACTGATGAAATTGCTTTACAGGCTGATCAAGATGTGGATGACTGAGATTTATAACGAGCTTGATTGCTCCGACATTAGCTAATACTCTTGCACTGAATAGAAGCCAAGCATACAGAATTAGAGGAATCTTAGATCTTCATAGATGTGATTACACACCCAGTTAAACAGTCCATGAACAAACACATCTCTTGTTCTTTCTCTGTTCACAAGCATGATTACAATTGATCCAGTGAGGTGGAAGTCTAGAAATTCCGATGCACGGGAAGTGTGAACACTGTTGTAACTCTCTACGTTTTATTCACAACATGTAATTTACTTGATTCGATGATGAACCAACTGAAAATGATCATTTTCTATATATCCACAGCTCTACTAGGCTCTACGGCTCTTAAAAGAACAGAAATCAATACGAATCTGTTTACCAAAATTTTGGCAAGAAAATTTACTCACATTCATATAATCGGAAGGAGGACTACACCAATTAATTGTTTATGAAGGATGTCTTTACCATATGATACAACTCTCATTACCATACATTGTCGTTAATAATTACTTCTAAATCAGAGCTCTTATTCTGATATCTACGTCACATCAGACCTCACATATGCATTCCAAATTGAACAATCGCATGTTGTTTCCTAAGAGATTGACAATTGCTATACCTTAACTTGCTGTACTCTTAGACATCGACAAAGATATGGATTTAGTTTGAGGGGTGGTAGGATAAACCCTTGTCATATCGACCACATGATTGCAGCTGCAATTTGTCACTGCAAGGTGTGATTTTGGGTGGAGTGGACGGAGATACCGACCAGCTAATCCTCCTCGGTATTCAAATTTCATCATATCTCCTATTTGAGATGAATTCCTGAAGTGCACATGTACAACCAGTTTCAACTACAATCCAAGTCATCTCTATCGTTGGGCAAAGGAAATGCAAGATTCAGTCCTTCCCTAAAAACCATACTAGGTTCAGCAAGCCGAGAACGCATGTTACGTGATCTGACCGATTTGGTTGAGTATAGCTGTTCTCGCAGTGGTGAGTTTCTCAAAATTCATTTGCGGTTCATTGAATTCGTCCGACAGAAGTTTGATCGGAACTGGTTGCTAATGTGAAGCTAACAATACTGCACTTGAATATTGGTCTGATTTATATCGTCAGCCTTAAGAAGGTGAGACACGGAATAAGATAAAAGAACAACAGAACTCCATCTTCAGAGTTGCTCACTTGGCGAAGTACTTACGTATGAATTGTGGGGAAGTCAACATGACAGTGGAAATGAAAATATGTGGAAGATTCATGATATTCCTTCATTACTTTTCTCAAGCAACTTATAAGTTTAGTTCTGACGAGGAAAGATAAGGATGTCTCCGTTGGCAGTGAGTCATCTGAGACCCAAAACTTGCCATGCCTCTATTATCTGATGGGACACTCTCACTAGAAACGATTTAAAACAGCAAGGGTCCCATCAGTATCCTAGCAAAAGCCTCACACTCAAACTCTAACAATACAATGTGTCAGTTACAACCACTTTCACAACTCGTGTGCACTTTCGGCTTTCAGACTTGTATTCTCGACGTGATCAATGGGCTCTGTCATCTACTGAAGCTGAAGCTCTGTCAGCGCAGAGCTTCAATTCAAAGCCGTCAAAATGAAAAAAATATTAACAGAACTTTTGCCTTCCAAAATGACAATTAGACCAACATACGTAAACAAGACAACTTCAAACGTGCTTCAGTCACTTTTCAGAAGTCTGGCGTTTATGGATGACTTTTGTGACCAGCTTCCGCAACTTTTTTATCGCAATGGACATCAGATGATTTACTCAATAAAAGCTAATCTGTGGTATCAATGGTTGTTTGTATCTCACGGGTTTGTCTCTTTCTGAGAGCAATTTCAGTGGTATATTGATGTAACGAAGAAAGTTTCTGGCTCTTTTTGTCTTCCGTAACGAATTAAAGGATGCCATCTCATAACTTCGAGAAAGCTAAACAAACATTGGCGTTGAGAGATATATGTCAGCCATTCGAATACACTAAGTAGATTAAGGAAAACTTCTAAACTCGCTAAATTTCATCACTTTCGCGTTGGGAACAAGCGCTATCTTGGATTCCACCCCCGGTATAGGGCTTCCTACGACTCGGGACCAATGGTTTATTACTTATCTGGAGTGCTTCCTTCGAGTGTTCACAGTCTTTCCTCCTTGCAGTTTATGAGGCTACACAGCAAGCCAACTTTGAGATTATATTTGGCGTGGCAACTTTGCTGGTGTTCAGGGTTGTGATCTTGACAATAAAAATTGCGACGGCAAACTTCATGCTAACCTTTTTACCGCATATCGCCTTCGTGGCCTTAATCTCAATCTCGATGAAGTGACAATGGAAACGATGCCATTAGTTTCCTAAACAACGCGATTTCATCGTGAAGGAATACTCAAAACTAATCCTACGATCAAGATGACACCGAATCCACACACTTTGGCGAAAGAAAAGCATGGAAGCTTGATACAACCCTTGTTATTGTGATCCTATTCCTTTGTGCAGCCCTTGCGATCTGCATCTCTGCTTCAGATCACCAGCGTCGTATTCCTGCATTGCAACATCGCTTGCGCGAGCCCAGCATTTGCAACATCCTGTTCAGATGCAGCTTTAAACCTTGTCATAGACCAAATCATATGATCAGAAAGCAGCGGAAAGCCAACAATGATTACAGTACATAGCACCATGGGCTATATGCGCACCATGTGCACCCGAGATTTGTTCAAAACTAGAAACACAATAAACCACTCGCATTGCTAGGTCCTTTCTCAGGCTGAGCAGGATACATGTAGTAAGCCTTTCTGCTTTACCTGCGTCCACAAGGAGATACAGAACCAGTTTCTTCCATGAATTGTAAAGTTATGTTGCCTTCGGGTGATTGGTCAAAAATGAGAAATCGTCCATACTTAGCCCAGATATGAAACTCCGCTTCATAGATCCAGAAGACCCGGATTCAACTTCTGTCATGAAACCCCTGTGCTGTGCTGTGCTTGTTTCATGCTTCCATGAGGTGGATGTGCAGAGTGTGCGAAGACAAATTAGGCCTCCAACATACACAACTGTTAGCTTTCGCATTGGTATTCATTGCTTCATAGCTTGAGCTTGAAGTCTCTTGCATATTCGAGAGTTTAACCTGCACAAATACACGCCTGAAGATGAAACATTTGAAGCCAAGATTCAAATTCTTCGGCAAGAAAATTGAGAGCATGAGGGACCTACCGGCTGATAGTGATTCGACCGATGAATCTTCTTAGCTTGATCACACAAGTATTCCAGATGACATGGTTTGCCGTGCTCCATGGAGAGTTTCAAGTTGTAGTGCTGTACACAGCTGGATGTGAACTGAAGAGATTGACATGAAGACTCTAGCGGCCTCTTCCTGCTAAGCTGAACACATGGATGGTATCGATGAGCGGTGAGGTCGATTTTCAAAATATGCATATACTCGATTAAACAGTCAGACAAAGAGCTGTGAAGATCACACTGCATAACTTGCCCCAGACATCATCGATCTACTTATATGGAAGAATGTTGCAGTCTTCTCTACTACGTAACTAATCCCCCAACATCAAGCGCAGAACTGCATGTGGACGTGTTTTACTGTAATCTAGAACTAGATGCATGAGCAGACCTGTTGCAGACTAGACTAAAATGAACGTGAAGGTTTACTATTCAAGTTATCATATTTTATGATAACTTGCAGATCGAATTTCATGGAAATGCTTCAAACAATATTATTTTATAGCACATAGGGTTAAGTTACCCTCCCTAGAGTTCTACGACAAAACATTGGAATTTGAATACTGCGCAATCTAACTTCTTGTGGTTGGGTGTTGATTTAAAATTAAAGAATATACGAAGATTATATAATAATACATTTTAAAAATTCTTGAAGTGAAATAAAAAATTGAGTTATTGTGTCCATTGAGATGAACCAATTCATTTGACATTGCTATATTTAAGCTCTAAAATTATGATTTGATTCTTCAAAGAAGTCTTTGTAATTGGTATCATGAGGAAAACACTGTCAAAAAACAGCTTGTGTTGTCACGCAAGCAAGAAGCTAAAAGATGAATACAAATGAAAGGAAGTTTTTAACCAATAGGCATAAGAAATTTATCATTGGTTGAGATCAATGCAAAAGATATTTGGAGAGATATACCAACCATATGATCTATGCAATTTCACAGTGATATGTGCTAAGTGCTACTTTGAACTCTTTTTTTTCAAATATGCTTAAAATCTAGTTATAATAATAACGCTAAAGTGGTCTAAATAACTAACAAGATGATCTTACAAGTGGAAATTTTGCCCCAAAAATCTTCTTACTAACAAAAAAGAAGTGATAATAAGATGATCTTGTTTGTGAAGAAAAACAAAGATGATCACGAAGATGCTTATATTAGTGAAAAGAAATACTAAGACAAAAGTTTTATCAATGAAAAAAGTATTTCAATGATAATATTATTAATTAAAAAAAACTGGTACGAACATGCCAATACTCATAGCAAGAATTCACAAGCATGAGAATATGAGACTGCAAAAAATTTCTAACTTTCAAATTCATGATGTGACAACTTTCACAACTCATGAAATAGTATGATGAGGTGACGAGACTGCCATGTCAACTTTCAAAAGCAATGTTTAGTGGTAAAACAACTCGTTGTGTATGAATATGAAAAATGCATGCGTCAACCAAAAAATCTTGATTATAAATTTTCAATTAACTTTCACTTCGGTGAATCTCAAATGGCTTTTCAATAATGTATCATGAATCTAGAAAGTTAGATTTCACCTACATATTCTCGTGAAAACATCCTTTCACACAATATTTTTATTCATTATTCAGCGATAACTCTCATTGACATGTAAAGTTAATTTGAAAATTCAAATTTATATAAATGAAATACATTTTTCACAAAAAATATTATTTCAAACTTGCTTGAGAGTCTATAGCTTGCTTGAGAGTTCTCCAATCAAACTATTTCAAGATCTATTATAATAATTAATGACAAATACAATCTAACTTATTTTCACTAAAATAAAGTATGGTTGAATGATTAATTTCCATGAAGAATATTTCATGTCAACATTGCATTGATCTATTAAACTCTAAGAAAAATTTTTGTTTATAAGTTGAGATGATTACATATCTTTTTGAATATTGAAACTTCTACAATTTTCAACTTGTTATGAAATTGAATTTTATATTTGATATAACTAATGAAAAAACAGTCAAAACTAACACATAGTCAAAATATTATTAAATTTTACCTTTGATAAGAGACAAAATTATCATTGTTTTTTTCAAATTCAAGAAGAAATCTAACAAAAAAAGGATCAAGTACATTTGAAATAACACTTTCAACAACCAAAGATCATATGATAGAAAAAACTGATCAAACAAAGAAAAGTAGTATTTTGGTTTGAAGTTGTAAGTGATTACTCAAAATTACGTTTTTGCTCATAATTAGAAGCATTACAGGCAATGTGACTTTGTAAATTTAAATTTTAAGATGCAATATAACTTTATAAGAATTTCAAGTTCAAATCAATTGGTGTAGCTTTGCTAAAGATTTGGCAATTTTTGAATTATTTTTAATGTTCGAATGAACTTTACATTTTAAAAGACATTTTGAACTATCATAACACCACCATAAGATTTTTAACAAATTTTTAACCAAAATAAATGTTGTGATGTGCGTTTTGTGTGAAAATTAATATTTTCCAGAAATATTTTTGAAATAATGTTCACTAATTTCAAAAAAAAATAAAAATTCACCTAAAATTGATATTGAAGATTTTATATGAAAAAATGTATTTGATAATTAAGCAAGTGCCTTTAAGCTGTTGAATTATTCATTTTAACCAAAATACAATTTCTAACGTGAGTTTTATAAAATTTAAGTTTTAACTCAATTTATACAGTTAAAAAAAATATTGAGTATCAAAAAAATATTTTAATTATGAATTAAAATAACTCATTGAAAACTCCAAAGATAAAAATCATCAAGAGTGATTTTACTCCTCTTTAGATGGATAGATCATTTCAACAAGTACAAAATTTAAAAAATCATCATTAACATCTTTTCACTTTTAGTGAATTAATGACATTAAAAATATACCTAACAGCATAAAAATCTCTAGCTTCAATATTTATGTTTTTGTAGAAGTAATTAAAATTTTATTTTAAACATATGGATTTAATTTATTAATTATGTTAAAAGTTGATTTCTATTTTGAAAATTAAAATAAAAAATTCATGATAAAATTCAGATAAATATTTGTTTAATTGAAATCTGATGATCAATTCATCACTCAATTTTCTTTTGAATTTATTAAACAAATTTTTTTCTTGCTAATTTCTTGACAAAATATTTTTTGAATGTGATTTGCAAAATTTTATTTGATAATTTAAAAATTAAATTTCTTAATTATTTTTCAATATAATTTTAAAAAATTATTTTTTCATATTGATGAAATTTTTATTTTTTTTTATTGTAAATATTTCCAATTATGATATGAACTTAGTTTTTCTATTAATGATATGAGAAATTTTTATATTTACTTTTTGATTCAATATTAATTTGATTTGATTTTGATTTTGATTTTATTGATATGAAATTTATAAATTTATAAAAAAAATTTATTCATTTTTTATTTCATTTCATTGATATTAAATTTTTTCGTTCATTTTGAATGATATTATATTTTATAATTCTTATTTATTGGTATTAAGATTTGTTTTCATTTTTATTGAGATCGAAATGGTTTAATTTATATTTATTGATATTGAAATGTTAAATTTATTTTTTGGACATTATAATGTTAAATTTATTTTTATGGAAATTAAAATTTTAAAAATTATTTTTATTGACATTAAATTTATAATTAATTTTTATTGATATTATAATTTATAATTCATTTTTATCGAGATTAAATTTATAATTCATTTTTATTGATATTATAATTTATAATTCAGTTTTATTGAGATTTATTTTTTTTAATTCATTTTTATCGAAATCAAATTTATCATTCATTTTTATTGATATTCTAATTTATGATTCATTTTTATTGAGATTTATTTTTATAATTCATTAATTATTGATATTAAAATGTTAAATTTATTTTTATTGACATTAAGTTTTTAGAATTTATTTTATTGACATTAAATTCGTTTAAAAAAATTATTGACATTAAGTTTTTAAATTTTCTTTTTATTAACATTAATTTTTTAAATTTTATTTTTATTAAAAAAACAAAATTTAAGAATTTCTCATGAGTATGGTAGGTTTAGATGGAACTATGTCCTTTACATTTTGTACTCTTCTTGTATAGTAGATGGCTTCTCCCTTGACCACCATAGATCACAAGTATTTTCACATCCAAAATACATATCTAAACACATTCTTACAATGTTACTAGTTCTTACTATGTGCTTGTTTATCACATAGTTCACAAAAATTTATGATCTATGAAAAAGAACAAAATTTTTAAATGTTTCATGAGTATAGTAGTTTTAGATGAAACTATGTCATCAAATATGTAGACATAGATGATATAGAAGATTGGTGAACTTGAAATATAATGAATATATAATATGATACATCATCTAAGACTTTCTTTTAGATTATTTCTATTCAAGAAGTAGAACATTTAGGTTAGATCACTCCACTCCTAAATGAAAAGTCATCTTAATGTATTAGAAATATTATTATTTTTAAATAAGTTGAAAGATTTTTGTGTGTAAAAATCTCTGTCTGTCTCACTCTCTGTTTTTAATCTCGCACTTTCTTGCAACAGCCCGCAGTACCGCCGTTGAGGTGCCCAAATTGAACGTGGATGCGTTTGAAAGCTAAATCCATCGATTTAACTTTCATATGCATCCACGTGTTCTTCTGATAGCTAATGTCTTAGGCTCCCAGATATGCAGAGCTTTGTAATAAAAAGAACATGTTGCAACAAGGCATCGGGAGCCGGGACTCAACTCACTCCTGCTACCCGACTGAGTGACGGAAGGTAAGGCACTCTTCTGAGCTGGGGCTTCCAATTTGTCTCCCAATTCATCAGTAGCATTTGCCGCAGACTTTAGACAGGGGGAGAGGGGCCTTTCTCCCTTGGGCAAGGGAGAAAGGCCTTGGTCTACTCTATCTGTCCCCCTCCCTATCTCTCTCTGTCCCTCCACACCCTCTTCTCTCTGTTCTAGCTGTTTTTTATTGTTAATTTTTTAATTTATTTTTTTATTGATACTACATTATTTATTTTATTTTGTTTGATATTTAATTTTTGAATTGTTTTTTATGATTTAAAATATTTTTTATTTTATTTTATTGATATTGAATTTTTGATTTTTTAATTGAAATACAATTTTTTGATTGGTTTTTATTGATATTAAATTTTACTAATTGTTCTTTATGTCATGGAGTGATATTTTGAGCTTAAATCTCTTTATACAGATTTGCTTTTGTCAAAAACTATGAGAGTTGACTCATTATTGAGCTTTGAAATAAAATTCTCAGATTTTAATATTTTTTTATAATTTAAAAAAATAATTTTCTTGAATATACATAAGTTTTTTAAAT